CATTATCATCATCATCATCACCACCATTATCAGCATCGGCATCATCATCATCATCATCACCACCATTATCAGCATCATCACCACCATCATCATCATCACCACCATTATCAGCATTATCATCATCATCATCACCACCACCACCATCATCATCATCATCATCATCAGCTTTTTCATTCAATCATCCTGACTAACCTTAAAAAACAGGAAAGTTTATTCCATGATCATGTTTTTAAATGTCCACAGTAGAAGCTAGCTGTTCAGGCTAGCAGATTTTGCCACCTTCAGGCAGCAAATTAACTCAGTTTTTTGTGTTTTCAGCTCTCAGGTGATGAAGATCAGTTGCTGGTGAGTTCCTGCAGATTAAAAAGTTGTAATTCACAAACCTTCTTGCCACTGAAGCTCCCGCTCTGTCTCAGCCGGGTGCTGCGTCGCTGGAATCGAGTTTGTCGCAGAAACTGTCGAACTGCCGTCAAATCGGTGACGTTCTACTGGTTGGTTCTCCTGCTGGTATTCCTGAACACATCCCTTAGTGCCTCCGAGCACTACAACCAGCCCGACTGGTTAACTCAAGTCCAGGGTAAGAGATCCTCTCCCTATGGTGCCACCTGGTGGCCGTGTTTCGATCCTGCAGATTGGTTCCAGAACAGCATAGATGTTGGATCTTCTTTATGAGGTACGGTCTCTGTTCTGCAGACATCGCCAACAAAGTTCTGCTATCTCTCTTCACGGTGGAAATGCTGCTTAAGATGTACAGCCTGGGTCTGGCACATTACTTTGTGGCGTTCTTCAACCGCTTCGACTGTTTTGTGGTGTGCGCCGGCATCATCGAGACCATCCTTGTGGAGCTGGAGATCATGCCTCCCCTGGGAATCTCAGTGCTGCGCTGCGTCCGTCTGCTGCGGATCTTTAAGGTCACACGGTGAGATCTGACCCCAACCAGCAGGTAGAACCTCTGCACCATCTTTCTACTGCTCTGGTGATTTCCCAGTATGTCTCCTCAGGCATTGGACAGCTCTGTCCAACCTGGTGGCATCCCTGCTGAACTCCATGAAGTCCATCGCCTCACTGCTGCTCCTGCTCTTCCTCTTCCTTATCATCTTCGCTCTGCTCGGCATGCAGCTGTTTGGAGGGAAGTTCAACTTCGACGAGACTCAGACCAAACGTAGCACCTTCGATGCCTTCCCGCAGGCGCTGCTCACCTGCTTCCAGGTGCCGTAGTGACAGCGAGCTTGTGATGTCAAAGCATTTGGGAAGCGTTTCCGTAACGATTACTGTGTGCTCAGATTTTAACAGGCGAGGACTGGAATGTGGTCATGTATGACGGCATCATGGCGTACGGCGGTCCTGTGTTTCCAGGGATGATTGTCTGCATTTACTTTGTCATCCTCTTCATCTGTGGCAACTGTATCCATGACAACAAACAATAACCTTATAAACTTATGATTTATACACCTACATGTTTATTATTACTTGAATTACACGCCACATTCTGTGTTCCAATGTGCCTAATTAATCATTCATGCAGTTTGTCTGTCAGTCTGTCGATCCATCCATTGTCATCCTCCTAATGTTTTAAACTCTTCCATCAGTTAACAAAAGGATCTCCTTCAGGGTCTTGTGTCAGAAAGTGGGAGAAGTAGCGACTCAGAATAGGTTTTGAGGTAAATATCTGGATATCCTGGGTTTTCAGTTTCAAAAAGCTAGACAGCCGTTATCTGAAGTTCCTCTGTGAACTCTGGATAGTAGCAGCATTTCTTGAACTTATACTGTTCTAATTTCCTCCCACTACCATGGCAGATCATTCTGTGTTCCAATGTGCCTAATTAATCATTCATGCAGTTTGTCTGTCAGGCTGTCGATCCATCCATTGTCATCCTCCT